TTACAATTAAACAGGCTGTTTTTGTTATTGTTCTTTACGTACATTTCTGGTCATATGTAAATGAGCTCTGTTCTTATTGGTTGCCTTGTATTGTGTCTCACTCAGAAAGCAGTCTGAGCTGAAACACTCCTTATAGTTTTAGCATGAATGGGCGAGGCTAAAAAAAAAACAATGAAAAACAAGAATAATTCTGTTTACATTCAGTTTACACATATATAAATATCTAAAAGTAAAAAGTAGACATTTTAACAAATAAATGAACATGCAGTGATAAACATGCAGTGATCTGAGGTACTGGCAAGAGTAAAATAAAAAATGGTGGTGGTTTGAAGTAAAGTATGTCATTACAGAGAAACTTTATTTATAGAGAGTCAGAACTGTGGTGATAGGAAGCAGAGTTTTGAAGTGCTTAATGCCTTTAAAGCTCCTCACAGCATTTAGTTACAGGAAATCATTATTAATACACTGCCTGTTGCCTGTTTTACAAAGTAGTTTTGCGATTAGGTTTGGGCAAAAACATATTTTTGTAATATTATTTCATGGTGGAGAGATACATGCAGAGTATAAAGCAAAAAGCCCCAAGTTCTTTCAGATTTGCCACTATTTTACCGTTATCATCACTACGTTTAAAAGCTCAGGAGACATGTGTAGGTTCACTGGTGGTTTTCGATAGTAAATAAAATGGCTGTATTTATTTTGTAGACATGACAACTCCTGGTTCCTATCACCACCACTGTAAAGAAATCTGAGTCCATTTCTGTACAATGAAGCATTTCACATCAAACCACTCTGGATGATGTTGAATTCAACTGATTCAATGATTGAATTATGCAAAAATTTTGAAAAAAAAATTGTGGAATTCCCATTTAATTATAGTAAGTATAGTAACTCAATAATTTTTCACCCTGGTAATGTTGTAAGTGGACATTTTCTGAGAAATTTCTACAAAACATGAATCATGAAATTGAACTGAAATGGTCATTTTTCAATTTGCTCCTACATGATTAATGTCAACTGAACCATATTTACTTTTTTTTTCTAACAATCCATTTCAGTGTTGTTCTTGAGCTTGAGGAAAGGACAGAGCTAATGAGGTTTCCTCTAGGTTTAAAATCACTCTGAATGACCTCATCTCCTGGAAAACGTTAAAGGAGGCATCTGTCCATCTTGAAAGAGATGAAACCTCTCATTCCCACCGCGGCGGATTTATTGCTCGGCTGCTCCGCAGTGAGAATTGTTTAGCTTGAGCGCAACAGAAACACTGAATTCAAGCGCAGGTTGTTATTGGGGCTATAAACTGTCTAGACTGCACTCCCCTCCTTTTCCACCTTCAGTCAGTCTCCGGCTGATAGACATTTGTTTTTATAAGATGTATAGAGTCCTCTTTGTGTCATGAAGGACAGCAGGGACATTTTTGTGGGTTCATCTTTAACTGACCGCTATCGTTGGCTAGTTGACATTGCCAAAAAGATGACAAAAGAAGTAATTTATGTAGGCCAGAGCGGACTGAGAAATGCTGCTTTGTAGATCCTGTCTTACAAAGAAAGGTGCCAAAAAGTGCCATGGAACAGGGGTGCCCATACTTTTGGTCTTGGTGGGCCAACATGCAATGTTTGTGGTGGGTGGAGGGCCAAAAAGACAAAAGCAATGTACAAATAAAGAAGGTAGGTAGTTTTCAATTTGAGCAGTTGAATTTGCATTTTATAACTTTACAGTTATTTTGTGTTTAAAAGTGAAATAAGAAGCTAATAAGTTATATAGTCATATGCAAAAGCACAGTCACATTACATATTTTGTTAATTTTCTATGTGAACATAAGGTAAGACATTCTCTACAGGGACAAATCTAAATGTGGCAATTTCCAGCAAATTTTAGTGCACAAGTTTTATTTAGCTGCTGAATTTAATATGTTAAAAAACATAGCATTTTATATGTAGTACAGCAAATAAACAGCAAAAAGCAGTCTTTAGAGGGTGTACTCACTTAAAAACCAAATGTGTTTTGACCTAACTTTTGCACGGGTCTGTATATAATATAAAATTATATTTCTCCCACTGTGTAAAGGGATGAAGTTTCAGGTGGGCCAAATCAAATGTCCTCATGGGCCAAATTTTTGGCAGTTCAGTCATGGAAGAACTATGTTTGGTTCCCTGAAGAACCATTCAGTGGATGGTTCTTCAAAGATTCCAAAGAAGGTTCCATTCCAATATAAAGTTCTTATAGAACTGTATGGCCAAGTCAAGAACAATTTAGGAACCTTTGTTTTTAGGAATTTTTATTATCCTGGCAAAAGTGAAGAGATACATTTTGTATTGTATTGACCGTGTTTGCCTTCGCTCAAGTCCGTAACACCATGTGTGGAGCTTTTTGATCATATCACCTCTGAGGGTGGGGTAAAATCTATATGTGTACTATAAGACACATGGTGGTCTATCAGGAGCCATTCTCAAGACATTCAACCTTCATAGCAGCCCATGTATACAACCTCCATACCCATTTATTGCCTATAACAGATGCAAGCTTTTAATGTCTGCTGAAGTGGGTCGAAATGTTCCTTCCTCCTGCCTTCCTAACTCAATTAGATTTTGGGCTATCAATCTCCTTTTGCGGTTGTGTTAGACATAAACAGTCGACAGGGAGAAAGAGGGAGAGATGTATTGGAAGTGCCCGGGCCTTCTATTGAGGAAGGCAGTAAATTCCTTCTCACTCCTTGAGCACTTACCACTCTCGCATTATGCAAACGGAAGAGGGGCTTCAAGGATTAAAATTCTTTGACACTATGGTCCGGTTCGAGGTGTGAAATTTCTAAAACCGTGGCTGTCCATTCCGAAACAGGACATACCGCTACACAATTAGCAAGCCGTTACAAATCATTTGTCATAGTCTGCTGAGATTTTAATCTTCTTTTCACCTTTTTGTTGTATGCAAATGTTCGTGCACCCGTGGTCAAATTACATGTTTGAAAAACTTAAATGTGGCATTCTTTGGTGAACAATATCTATTTATTTTCTGAGTTTCAATTATTGGGCTGAATGAAAAGTACCATAACTTTTGCACGGGCCACATTTTACATTTTATTTTTCCCCAATATGTTAAATTCAGCAAATAAACAGGAATTCTGCATTAAAATGTGCACAAGTGTGTTCCCTGTAGAAGATTAACAAAATGAACAAAACATGGGATTTGGTCAGGGGTGCCTAAACTTTGGCACACAGTTATAGATGTAAAGAATTTGTCAGTTATACAGTGAATGATTGCCATGTTGGACATGAAGATTTTCTGAGAAACTTCTAGAAAACAGACATGTATGAGGACGAAACTGAATTGAAACAGTCATATATGATTGCCAACTGGACCACAATTATGTTTTCTGATAAGCCAACGCTCAGTCTTTGGACATGTGTTACAAAAAGCCCATAGATGATCAGTCTAAAATGGCCAAAGTCCATTGTTGACTTTGATATATGTTAACTGTGAACTAAGCATCAGCCTATATATTTGATCTACCTACGACCTGTGATAAGGATACTGTGTTCTTGATCAATGCATCAGATGTAGATTGTTTGGAACCATTTTAAACTATGTAAGTGTTTCAGGTTGTGTTACTATCTCTGTAACTGTCCTTCTATCTAAAACAGATGTGAAATGCAGCTTACATTGCAAATTTTCTGTGAACATGCACAGACAGTCTGCAGTGTAAGATACATTTCATATCTATTGAAATGGTGATGTGATAAAATGTCTAATGCCTATGATAGAAACATCTGACTATTTGATGTATGTACACAGTAGTGTTCAAAAGTTTGGAGTTGCTGTTTTTATTAAAACAAAGGTAAAAAATTTTGTAGAAAAATGTATAATGTGATTCTGTTATGATGCTACAGCTCTACGATGTCACACATTTCAACAAACATGTAGAAAAGTTGTGAAAAATGGAGATATTTCAGATGTGTCCAGAATAATGAACAGAGCTGATGATTTAGGTTGTATAACACTGAGAATGTAGTTTAGAAATTAATAAAATTAAGTAATAAATGTGACCAGGATAGCTGATCAAACCTAACACAAACAGTTTATCCAGAAATAAATATAAATAAATAAATATTTACACTATATTGTTTATCATTTAATAACCCCTAGCTTTGGTCTACAGCTGTTATTAATGACAAGTGAATATATATATATATATATATATATATATATATATATATATATATATATATATATATGTATGTATGTATAATCACTATATACCATTTTCATTTTTATTTTTTTTTTGGGTGAAATAAGATGTCAATACATTTCAGCTCTATATGATGATTAAGTCTGACATTGAGAATTTTTTCTTTGTTTGTGTGCTACATGTTTTTTTTTTACAATTATATGTTATACTAATACATGATAAAACTCTTCATATATATGTTTTCATCAAGAAAAATTATTTGTAATATTTTTTTATTTTATATATAGTGCATTGTACATTTGAAAACATCAACATACTAATCCATATTTAACCCAATCCTCCTTGCGCCCTGACTGCGGAGAGTACTGTATGTAAACGTACATGAATGGTGAAGTGACCTGAATTTGCCTGTGCTGGATCATTTTATTTGTAAGCATCCAGAACCGCGCCACCATTATAAATAAGTCGTTTTCTTCTCCACGCCTGCAGGACTCCCTCTCTCTCTCCCTCCCTTCCTCCCTCCCTCTCTCTCTCTCTGCCCTCCCTCCTGTTCTCTTTGGCTCTCTCCTCCACAGGCCCCGCCCCCTTCTCGCACTCTGCTTTTCTCATCAATGAAGCCCCATTTGAATAATGTGGAAGCACTTGGCCCGGAGCCAATCAGCTGTCAGAGGGCCGTGATAAATCGCAACGCGTTATTGATAATAATAATTACTTTGACATGCGCATTTCTACTTGAAGGCTAATTTCCCAGCCTGGAGAGTTTGGGAAGGAGAGGGGTGAAATAGCGTTACTATTTGCCCCCCAGATGGTTGGTCGGAGTCTGCCATGTCGCGACGCAAGCAGTCCAAGCCGCAGCACATCAACTCAGAGGAGCCCACCTCGGCAGAAAACGGTAAGCCAACGAAAGCCGATGATATATTAATACAGCATATGAAGTGAAGCTGCAATTTTTTTTTCCAAAATCGCTGCTAACCTGTCGCACTTTGACCGGAGTCGCGACCCTGGGAGTTGGCCAAGTTTTTGTTCTTCAGTGTACTTGATGTTTGTGAAGTTGCTCTCTGCTGAGTGAGGAGAGAAGTTTCTGCCTCACTGAGAGACGTTAGCCTAGCCTGTTTATCGGTTTGGACTTTTTTACGTAGAAAAAAAATATTTGGGTTGTATGTTGTGAACTTTGAGCTTCACTCAGTTGGGTTTTCTGTCTTTTTCGCCTCCTAACACCGTAACCTGTTCAGTGTTACTCACAGCAAATCCTTTAAAAAGTTTTTAGTGGCCGCGTGAAAATATGTAACATGTAACGTGTTTTATTTAAGTTCATGTTTGTCCGTGTCTCCTGTTAGCGCTCATAACCGCCTATGGTCGGTCTCGGTGTGCAGCATTGTGTGTGCCTGCTTGTTTAGGCTTCTTCTGAATGAGTGAGTGAACCGTTCGTGGCTCCAACGGTGAAGAGTTTACTGCAAACATACAGTTAAGTTACAGACAGAAAGTCGAGGCAGATAGCCTGCTGCCTTTAATCAGTTGTAGCTGAATGTAAGCTGTGGGAGAGAGAGCTTTACATGGACTCTATTAAAATGTGTAGGGTGGTCTACCGTTAAAACAAAAGCGCTCGCACGAAATGCGATTCTGGAACAAACTGACCACAAAAGCAATAAATCCCCCTCCTGTTAAAAGGCATGACTTTCTTTGGGCTTCATGTGGAGATGGAGACGTGGGGGATGGTAAAGTAGCCCGGTCGTGGAGGTGGGGGGTCGATTGCTGTTCACATATGTAAAGTGGGTAACTCGGCGTGATGTTTTAGGTTGTTTAACCCCTGTATGATGAAGATTGTGCATCTAAAAACGAAAAATTGGCAGACTAAACTTTTTTTTTTTTTAACCTGTGTTGTCTAGTGTTTTTTTTGTTTTTTTAATATAAATCTTTTGTTTAATCAAATGGTCTATTAGCATTTTTGGAAATGTAAGCAATCACCTCGTGTCACGTTGGGGTCATGTTGCACTCTAAGTCAGAGCGCCACCTCGTGGAGGGATTAGTTGTTTTCCACCATTGTCTGCTGAAGTATGTAAACCCTAAATATGAATTATTTCACTTATTTTTTTAATTTTATAACATATATTATGCCATATAAAGAAGTTTCCCACCCAGCCCCAAATTAGTTTCTTACCTTTTTAAGTGTAGCCCCTCTCCACCTTGTTTCACCTTGCCTTTTTCTGTTTTATTTTTATTTATTTTTATTTATTTATTTATTTATTTATTTTGTCTATAGCCTAAACTGCAAGTCGTGGTTGGGTTTTATGAACAATAAAAAGCCATTTGCAACTTCTCCCTCACCCTATTCAAGACACCTGGTGAGCGATCAAGCTTAAGTTTCGTTGGGGGAACGTTAACGGGTGACCGACCCCCCCCCCAAACCCATGATATTAACAATAGATGTGTCGAAACGGTCAGCTAAATTAATAGGTCAGGTACATACTCTCCTTTCTTGATACGTTAAAACCTTATTTTGGGTCCAAAACGTAAAATAATGGATGAAATGCTTAAAGTTATCTCTGTGGGAAAACTGTCCACGCAATGTTTGCGATTTCTCAATTTCTTGTAAGACACATTTTAATTTGTTTATTGTATATTGGACTAAAAATAATACCTTGGATATTAACTTGTTAAAAGTTACAGTACATTTGAGAGCAGCTCAGTGATTCTTTGTTGAAGCATCTGGTAAACAACGCCCTCATCTGGTGAATCGTTGCAGAAGGCATTTTTTGCGGTTCACTGTACTTCTGCCCTCATTTTGCTGAAACATAGCGCACATAGGATACTAATAGTCTGCTCAAATTGGAATGATTTTGCATAGTTATTCTGCAATTAATATTACTGACATTTATGGCATTGTCACATTTTCAAAAAATACATGCACACAGACACAACATATAACACGTTTCCCTATTTTGCTCTGTTTCAACAATGTGATGCTAATGTTTGGATGGTCTCTGTTGCTGCAGGGGTTCTCCAGGATGTCCAAACTGAAGAGGATGGAAATGAGCTCAAGAGGTGTCGAATGGAGGAGACGAGAGTTTGTGAGAAATGCTGTGCAGAGTTTTTTGATGAAGCAGAGTTTCTTGAGCATGAGAAGAATTGCACGAAGAGTCAGCAGGTCGTCATTATGAAGGACGGGGATGGTGGTGAAATACCTCCCGAGTTCTCCCAGCGGTCCCCTGAAGACTTCCAAAGCGATCATAGCGATGGCCAGTCAAAGCATGGCATGGACTCTGTTGATGTTATGGAGGATGAGCCAAAGTTGAACGGAGATGATGACTCCAAGCAAGCCCAAGAGGATCTATCCAGCAGCCCTGACATGAGCTACCCAACTGCCTTGAAGTTGCAAGACTCTAATGTAACTCTTAAAACCATGCCTGCCACCACAGTAGCTGTGACTCAACATTCTTCTAATTCATCTAGTCAGAAGTCTCCCACTCCCCCATCGCATCAAGACTCACTCCATGCCATACCCATGATCCTCGAGCAGCTGGTCAACCTTCAGCAACAACAACTGCAGCAGATCCAGCTGACGGAGCAAATTCGTATCCAAGTGGCTATGATGGCCCCTCAGAGCCTCCACTCTGCAGTGGGCGCTGCGGTGGATCCACTCAAGGCACTTGGTGCACATCTTTCGCAGCAACTTTCAGCTGCTGCTGCCCTAATAGGGAAACGAACAGGCTCTCAGAGTTTGTCTCTGGAGGCTCTCAAGCAAGGTAAACTACCTCAGTCCAGTGTTGTTTCCACATCACTTGCTGGAGGTGCTGGAGCCATCCCCTTGAAGACAGACTTGATAAAAGGGCTCCCAGATCTAGCCAGTCGACTTCCAGCTTTACTTCCCCAGTCACCAGCAGTTATGGCCTTCCAGAGTCCTTTTAGTGCCCTTGCATCAGGCATCGATCCTTCCAAAAAAGGGAAAAATAAGATTCCAGGTCTAGCAGAGTTGAAGAATGGAGCTGGCGAGCAGATGTTTAAGCACAAATGCAAGTTCTGTGGGAAGACCTTTGGGAATGATAGTGCCCTCCAGATTCACTTGCGCTCGCACACTGGTGAAAGGCCATTTAAATGTAACATCTGTGGAAACCGTTTCACAACTAAAGGAAACCTCAAAGTGCATTTCCAGAGACACAAAGACAAATATCCACACATTAAGATGAATCCTCATCCTGTACCAGAGCACCTGGACAACATTCCCACAAACAGTGGCATTCCCTATGGCATGTCTGTACCCATTGAAGAATCAAATATGGCAGAAAGCAAACCAGTGCTTGGACTCCCATCTAGTGGTATTCATCCCTCAGTGCTACAGGGACTCAAGTCGTCTTTTGACATTCCAGTGAGTGGTGACCTCTACACCCAAAGACCCTCCTCATCTGGTAGTGACGGTGCATCAATTTCCTCAGGCATGCTCAATCATGAGGTAGGCCTGGATCAAAGCAAGGAACCCTCAGATTCTCTAGCTAGCCTGCATCACATGAATACCAATGGCGTCCCTGATGAAAATGGGTCTGGCACAGCCAAACTTCAGCAGATGGTGGATGGCTTGGAGAAAAGAACAAATGACCCCAATGAATGTGTGATCTGCCACAGAGTCTTGAGCTGCCAAAGTTCTCTCAAGATGCATTACCGTACACACACTGGTGAACGGCCCTACAAGTGTAAGATATGTGGAAGGGCCTTCTCTACCAAGGGTAATCTGAAGGCCCACTATGGTGTCCATAGGGCAAACACCCCACTTAAGATGCAACACTCCTGCCCAATTTGTCAAAAGAAGTTTACCAATGCTGTTGTACTGCAGCAGCACATTCGAATGCATATGGGTGGCCAGATTCCCAACACTCCACTGCCTGAGAGCCAGTATGAGAGTCCAGAGGCAATGGATTCCAGTTTGACAGAGGAGAAGAACATGGATGCCAGCGGGCTTGAAGAGAGCATGGAGGAACAAGATCTGGATTTGGACAATCAGGAAAAACGGAACACCCCTGAACCTAGTCCTGTACCGGTTCCAAAAGGGGATCAGCCTTTCACTGGCTCACCTTCCATGTTCTCAGGCATCACTGCTCTAGAAAACCATATGAAAAGCCTCACATCAGCCCTGAACTTGCAGCGACAGAGCAGCACTGCGTCCGAGAGTGATGGCCCCAAAGAGTCACCATCGACAGCTGGGGAGCTGGAATACAAGAATGGACGCAGTCCAGCCGTGTCTGATTCAGTCTCCTTTCATTCTTCATCTCCGGTGGATGCACACTTGGAGAATGGACAGGTAAAATCTCCAGAACAGGCAAACCCAGACAATGGAATCGGGGCCAAAACAGACTCTGATGGTGGGGCTCAAGATTTTAATGAAACAAGTGGAGCACTGGACTTGACTTCTAGTTTCACTACAAAAGCCATCAAAGAAGAGCCTGGCCTGTCTTTCTCAAATGGAGAATATTGTAAGTCATCATTTAACTACTTGTCTAGTTTAGGTTTTACAACTCCAACATAACTTTAACTATGTGTACATCTTACTAAACATGTTCTGTCTGTTTTACAGCTGCAAGTCACCTGCCATTCATGAGGGGCCTGCCAAGTCTGGTCAAACTGGAAATGCAGATTCCTCCTGAGAATCCATTGGGTGCCCACAACCAATATGGTTCCCAGCTGCCCCAGGGGACAGGTACGCCTCCCCCCAGCTCTGGTGCCCCTCGCCGCACTGCCAAGCAACATCTGTGCAACGTATGTGGCAAGAACTTTTCCTCTGCCAGTGCATTGCAGATCCATGAACGTACGCACACTGGTGAGAAGCCCTTTGCGTGCACCATCTGTGGCAGAGCTTTTACAACAAAAGGGAATCTCAAGGTAACTTTTAAATAACATCACAGTTGGCGTACTCAAGTGAAAATGCTATATTTCTGACCCCCAAATATTGAAAGTAGTTATGTTCAGCTCACTGATGTTTCAGAAGCCTATTACTGCTTAATTCTGACATTAATTGGATCCCTGTCTATCTTGCAGGTACATGTTGGAACGCATATGTGGAATAATTCAACAAGGCGTGGCCAGCGTCTGTCTTTGGATAACCCCATGGCTTTGATGGCCATGGGTGCAGAATCCAAGATGATCCCAGACATGTTGCAGCCCCCGAAAGACTTGATCCCCTCACCGATGAACTTTGACCCATCGGTATGGAATCAGTATGCTGCTGCTTTCACAAATGGGCTGACTATGAAAACCAACGAAATTTCGGTCATCCAAAATGGAGGCATCCCACTCCCTGGAAGTCTTGCTGGAGGCCCTTTGGTTGGCTCCACAGGAGGACTGAAGATGGACTCCTCCCATTCAGGCATTCCAGCTACAGTTGCTGAAATGGAAAAGAGTGGTTCAGAGAGCATAGTAAAATCACAATTTCCTCATTTTATGGAGGAGGGCAAAGTGAATTAAGACCATACAAGACACTTCCCCAGTGATTTGGTTAACTTTGCTCCTCTGCCAGATTCTCAGTGGGTACAATCAAATCCAGTCCTTTTGCATTATTTTTTTCAGTTAGTTATTGGATTTTGCAAAGCCTTATCAAATTTTCATGTCCTGAAATGGCCACCTCTTGGAATTTTTGACTTCACCATCTAAATCGTGTTACTTTAGCTAAACCTGATGTAACTACTGTAATTATTGCTGTTCTTTTTCTAATATATGCGGGTATTTGTTAGTAATGTTTCTAGAAGTTGAATGTAAGTTTTACTTGAAAAGGCTTTATTCCAGAACTGTCCTACTAGTGAGAACTTGCTGTGTGATGCAATCCGCTAAACACAATTGCCACCTCTCACAAGGTACTTGGTTGTGGGCCATTTTAACAGTTGACTGCTTGTAGTCTCTGCTACATGACTTGTCTTATGGTCCTGTTCACAATTGCTTTTGGTGACATTATGCTCAGTTGTAACATCCAAAGCCTGTTCTTTCAGGGCTAATCTTAAGCAGTGTAGCATAGTTGTAGAACAGCTTGCTGAAGTTCTTGTTTCCAGGCTCACCTGTTAGCAAATTGAGTTGTAGATGTTTGGAAACTAGATTTCATATTAAATTATTCTGTTGATTCTAAATGTAGTTTCTGTGCTACCAAAAATGTTCTTGTTAAGTGCCTGTGTAAGTGGTGCAGTGTAATTTTATTAAAGGAAAGCACCACACGATTGTAATGAAGGTTCTTTGGATTTTTTTTTTTCCCTTCTTTGACCAAAATGTACTATATTTTCGCATGTAGCCTTAGACTTGTTTGAGCCCCCCACCCCCCAGCATTAGTTTTTCAGATGGCATTTGGCCCATTAGACATCTCTTAATGTCAGTGGGGCTGAACAGCCTGCATTTGAAGCCGCCTTGTGAGGTATCCTGAGGGCCAGTATAACGCTGAAACGCTCATCCCTGCACTTTATTTCTTGACATTCTGCCAAGATCCAAGATTAACTGGACTGTTTGTAGACCCAGGGAGCTGTTTGTCATTGCGTCAATTCAATATATTTTTTTTTTTTGTGTGTGTAGTGTTTACTGTTCATTTTTCCTCATATGAGCTGTTCTTATAGCTGTCTGGTCAGAATGGGCTGTTCCTATATCTGCCTTTTGGGCAACATTTTTGCAGCTAATGTACCAAAGGGAATGAGCAGTCAAAATCCAGTTAAATGTCTAGTGACCTCGCCCTTTTAGCTCCCTTCTACTTTTTTTCTTTTCCCCCCCATCCACCCTCTTTCCTTGAGTTATGCATCTATCCATCAGTCAAACGGTATATATATTTAAAATCTTGTGGGTTTTTAAAACATCAACTTGGGTCAAACTTCTACCTCATTTTAGATGCCTTTCTTGTCCTCACTCTACTGATCTGAACCGCTGTATTTTTGCTACCATGTGCTCTGAGTAAGTGATGTTATGGTTAGTTATTCCATAACCTGCTGACTATTATTTTATTTTTTTTTTATGTAATGAATGTATCGCTGGACACTTTGCACAACACTTGCTCAGAATAAACACGGACTCCTGTACATTCTCTTTATGCATTTGCCAAGTTGTGCCTTTTCATGATGTAAAAGAAAAAGATGGTGTCAGATATTGGTTCTAGGGGTTCTTCAAACGTTAAGTCTGTTTTAGGCTTGTTTACAGTGTAGATGTGTCTTTGTAAAATTTTTTTTTTCCAGTCTCTCCATCCTTTCGAGGCATTTTGTAATAAAACACAGGATGATTTTTCAAATGAGCCTTTTGTTATTTCAAAAAGTGAATATGCACTGATGTCAAACACTTTGAAGCAGGTGTGGTAGCGCAGCACTCATGGAGAACCACCGCTAGTTTTCCCTGTTCTCAAACCACATGATCTCCAACTAATGAATTAATAAGCATGTTCCTGAGGTGACCTGGGTGCAGGGAAACTACCACACACAGTGCAGTGGTTCTCCAGGGCCTGGATTGAGAACCACTGTAGGCTTTTTGAATGTCTCTTAAGGTGCCAATTTCATGAAGTTGCATCTCCTGTTTAAATGAAACACAATGTTCTCCACCCCAACCTATTATATGTATAGATATTTCTTCAAGGGGTCTTTACTAAAGGGGTGCTTAAATGGTTCTTTGCATGGTAAAATCGTCCATCAGATTGATGGAGAGTTTGTGTATATGGTTCTATATAGCACCAAAAAGGGTTCGATTGTTACAAACTTGATAACAATAGCCGAACCCTCCTTGGTGCTATAAAGACCTATTTTCAGAAAGGTTCCATATATATATATATATATATATATATATATATATATATAACAATATCAGCACACTCCTTCAATCTGAAGAATCATTTAAGCATGAAGTGGTTCTATATAGAACTCATTGGTCCCTTTCCCTTTACTAAAGAACCCCTGAAGAACCATTTTTAGGAGTGTAGGCTCTCTTATTAAATTGTAGCAGTTCAAGGAAAATGAACAGTTCGAGCGACTGTGGTACTCTCCCCTCCTTCACCCTCAGCTCTCAGAGGAAACTGAGCAGGCAGTTTGGAGCCCGCCGCTCTGACAGCTCTCTGTCTCTCCCTCACTCTAGCCTCCGCCCAGCTCCGGCAAACGGCTGGGGCGATTTCGCAAGTGTCAGCCCCCTAGAATGGCAGGCATGACGGACAATATCCCTCTGCAGCCGGTGCGGCATAAAAAACGACACGACAACAAGCACAAAAATGGGTAAGAAAGCAAGAACGGGTGTCATTATCGCTTTATAAACGGTTCGGCCCGAAGAACTTGTTCGGTGTTGTTGCTAGGTTAGCTAGCTCGGCGGCTAACAGCTACAGAGGAAAGCGTCTGTCTGTCCGCTTGTTTATGCGTTTAATTCTGTCTCGTGAAACGAAGACGGCACTTTTACTTCGCATTCTCACAGGAAAAAACGGATGAAATTGATTTAAGAAAATAAAGGAACACGATGAATAAAATAATACTGTCCTCCGTAGCTGTAGGCTGCCCTGGCTACTGAATGTAATTGTTTATCGGTGAATGGAGTCCAGGGCAAGCCTGTGCAAGTGCAGAGGAGGATGGCTACGGAACGTCCCTGTTCCGGGTGTTATCAGGTGAATATTCAGCGTTTGGAGCCAGTATTTGCTTAACACACGGCAGGTGAGGAAAGGAGAAGAAAGAAATGCGGCGGTTTCCCTCTCGGTGACTTAGTAGCTTTAAACCAGGCTGTGGTTCACCCTCTGCAGAGCCAGTTTTATACAGACAACGCTACATTTCGCTTGACAGCGTTACAGGGAGGCCTAGCTCAGCTAAGGTGTAACAGTATGAAATGGCCAGCAACAAATGCTGTCCTGTCATGCTGTTTTACATACTGTTGTAAAATGACCTAGCTTAAATTTAAAAGAATAGTTCACCGAAAAAATCACATTTACACACTTCCCCCCTCTTTCCTAAATGTAGACAGCTAAAATATGTTTGATGTCTGAATTTTGATTACAGCTACGAAGCTAGTAGAAAAAAGATTTTGGGGGGACACAGACTTCCATTACATGTTAGCTATATTAGCCTCGTACCTCCAGTGCTGAAACTAAAGAAGCAAAAACATATCTTGGCCATTCGACTACATTCGGGGTAAAGGGGGAAACTGTGTAAATTTGGTTATTCGGTGAACTAATGCTATAAAACCTACAGGCATCAAATAACACATCACTGCCCAAGTCGTTGCCTACCATAGTAGCTTAGTGCCAAACCCCATTCTCATGCTGTTTTCACCGGTAGTCGTCTTTGTTTTCTGGTTAATAGACAACAGCAGGAATCACTTGTATTGGATTAAGCTAAACAAACTGGACTTCAGCCCCAAAACATCTTATGTCTGTGTGTCAAAGCCTTCTGCAGTCCACTATGACATCAACGTTTCTCAATAAAAATGAAAGCTCTTGCTCACATTATAGCCATATTTTGACTAGCTGAAACGTTTTAGTTCACTTTTTCTTTATTAAAGCGTTTCTGTTTTTGTAATCCACAAGAGTAGAGCTATCTGTCTTTAGCTGCCCTTTTTTATAGCCCTTGTATTTGTAGAAGAGCTAGGCAACAGGTCTGCCATATTGTAATTTATCTGAGGGAACTAAGGGCTGTGGGCATTTTCATAAGGGCACAACAGTATAGACCAGAGGAAGGGAAGAAACCTTGTGACCTGCAGCCATCTTTTACCAAATCACTGTCCTCTGCATTATACCCAACAACCCTCTTCTTCCTTGAATAGAAACTTAAGTGAGCGACCAAAACATTTACGTGAAAGTTTTGGTACTGAAATTATGCCTAGTAGTAGCTGAGAAAAGTTTGTACGGTTACCTGCCAAATGCTTTGTATGCTGAAGGTAATAGTCAATCAAATATGAGTTGACACAGAACTCTACGCCAAGCCCTTTTGTCTTGCTGATAAGCTTTGTTTGAGAAAGGAGGTGGTTTCTAGATAAAGTGGGCTTAGTTTTGCACACTGACGCAACGTGGCTCAAAACCCTTCATTCAGAGTCACCGGTGTAAAGCATTTACAGTATCTGTATGAGAGGGAATTCACCAGCATTTTCGGCATCTTGATGAAGGGCCATGAGGGGGAAAAAGTACTACAAATCTTTGGATTGCACATTAATGATTGTCTCTTGTATCTTAAGGTAAAAAAAAAACTTTTTTCTGGTTGCTTTCAGGTGCTGCCCGTGGTCGAGATGCTGTGGAATGGGGGATTTTCGTCCTCGGACTGTGTGGTTAGGCCACCCAGAAAAGAGGGAACAGAGATACCCCCGAAATGTCATAAACAACCAAAAATACAATTTCTTCACCTTTTTACCTGGGGTAAGGCAATGTTAACGTTAACCTTATTTGACTGCAAATATTGTTCACTCTGCAGGTGATTACGCCATGAACACTTGATCCTTTGTTTTCCATATTTTCCTAAATCTGGCTAATCTTCTGAATAATTTTCTTAAAC